ATGCCTCTTAATGAAACCAGAGACTTTGTTTTACTTTCTAATAGTCTGTATGAATTATAAAACAAAACCAAAAGTAAATACCAGAGGGAAGCATGAGGAATTCTCCCATTAGCACAAAGCATGTCATATGAGGCAGTTTTTGTTATAAATTAGCCTTTATTTTATTCCAAGGCTGCCGAGTCCTCAATAAACCCTCACTGCGTCCGGTGCTCAAGGACAAGGCCAGGTCACGGGCTCCCGAGGCCCTGACGTCCTTCCCTGGCTTTCCTGGCCTGGCCTCTGACTAAGGACCCGCTGCTGAATGTGACGAGGGCACCCAGCACTGGAAAAAACCGCACCGGTGACACATATTTAGTGCTCTATTTATGACTGCGGGGATGTGTACATTCATATATGTACACACACTCCAAATAATTTTAAATTAAAGCATTTTTAAAATACTTAATGGAGGTTAAGCAGCATTTTTAACCTCTGTTCAAGTTATTGAATGGCATATTAAAACCAATGCGGCTCTAATGTACCTTCTAATGCGTGCTGGTGCTTTAACAAATTGCCTATAAATTTTAGTTGAATTAAGCCTATTCCTTGTACACCCAAGTAAGGTTAGGTTAATAATACATGAGGTTTCATTATATGCACCTTCCTTAATGATGTTTTTGAAGAAAGCGGGACAGGAATCTGTGTGCAGCCGTCTCGTACGGGCCAGTAATATTTACAGTCCCAGATGGAAGGGGCAGGGGGAGCCCGCGGCCGCGCCGGCTCGTCCCCCGCGCCCCGCCGCTCACACGCAGCGCCCCGGTGCCCCCCAGCCCGCGGAGGTGGGAGGCCGGTCTCTCTGGTGTGTTCAGGGAAGTAGAACACAAGCTCAGACAAGGTGCTAGCGCAGAGCGAGCCCCTGACGCATCTGCTTCTGAGGGAGGTGATTCGGGATGAGGGTGTTCTGGTTTTTCGGGGTGAATTTAACAGTTAGAGACAAACTGAACAAAGCTTCAGAAGCCATAACAATGCAGGACCAAAGCGAGACAAGACAGCTCCACACACACACTGTGACCTTTCCATATGGTACACATCTGTGTGCAGGCTACCTCAGTTTGTCCAAAATGACGCACGAGGGGCTTCAGCCACCTTTTTCTTTCCTCCCTGGCAGGGGAGGACAAACTCCACCTCATCCCTGCATCTGTGTAATGAAGGGGGTGCCCACAGGCCTGCAGGGCACCCACGTTCAGGAGAACACCATGGAGGGGTTTTTAAGTAGAATTGTTCCCTTAATTCAGAAAACATACATGAAGCGCCCACTAGGGAGATGCTGCTGTGTGTGCCTGGGGTGGGGCCCTGAACAACCTGAGAAGTGGCAACTGGCCTCACAGGCTAAAGGGAAGGAAAGGGTCAGAAAAGGCGCAGAAAGGGGTCGGAGAGTTCGGAGAGTTCACGGGCGTTCCACATCGCCTGCATTTTCGCCTACACCGGGGAACGTCAGTGACCGTGAGGATCGCTTTGCCCGCCTGCTGAGAAGGGTTGAAGGAGGATACAGAGGATGGGACCAGGACGGATAACAGGGTGAGGAGAAGTGGCCAAATTTTGGACATACTGGAAGGTAAAATCAACAAGATTGATTTACAGAGAAGAGACAAAGGTTGTGGAAAAAACAGGAATCACAGGATAATGGCAAAGATTTGACCTGAAAAGATTACAACCCAAGAAATAACAGGCTAACATGTTCAGTTAGGCAAAATCGATGGAATGATTTTTCTCTTCTGAAATGGACAAAAGTGAAAAGAAACCAAAGAACAGAAGAGAAAATGGAGGCACCTGCAGGGAGAGGTCAACAGTAAGCCAACTGATTAAGGCTGCAAAACTATGGAAAGAAACGTTTGGGACTAGAGGCTCCACCGGTCCCTAAGGCCAAATAGAAGTGCACCCGTCCCTGACCAGAAGGTTTCCCTCCTGCACTTTGAGACACGTTTTCTCTGCAAAAGGTAAAGCAGGGGTGGGGGGCGGGCATGGACGGTACAGGTGCAGGGACGAAGGGCACAGCAATGACAGGGCTGCGGGAAGGCTGCCGGTGGCGGTCTTGGGTGCCACGTGCGCGAGGCCTGGTGTCCAGTGGTTTCGTCAAACGCTGGTCTAGATGTTGCTCTGAAGGTGTTCTATAGATTTCCCCAGAATACAAGAGCACTGATCTGCAGATAAAAGGGCCCAATGCATTCCCGGTAAAGTTATTTAACAAAAAAAAAAAAATCATGAAATTTTCTGAAATGATATATATAGAAATGGTAAAAGCTTTCAGAATGTAAAGAAGAAGAAAAAAAAAAACAAGTTTGATTGGCAGCACCAGAAGATAATGGTGAAATAACGATTTTTAAGTGAAAATGATTCTATAAAGTGGTAAAATTTCAAATAGCTATAAATGTAAAATAACAATAATTTCAGACATTGAAAATTCTAAAAAGAAAAACGGCTTCCCTCCACATACTCTTCTTGTTCACAGTCTGATGGAGGGTGTGCTCTACCAAATACATAAATAAACCAAAGGAAAAAAGAAATTCGGTGTCAGGGCCACCGAGACATTGGTCACGTGAGGAAAACCTCAGTGCGGCCACAAAAGGAGGGCCCAGGACTCAGCTGTGCAGCAGAAGGAAACACCGACCAGCTCAACGAGGGATCCAAATCCCCCGTGGACTGACATCGCAGCGGTGGGGGGCAGGGGGCGTAGGGGGGTGGCTGATGGATTCCTTGGATAGATTTCTATTGGAAAGTTCTGATTCCTTGAAATACTGAAGCAATCCCTAGGAAAACTAGGCAAAGGCAAATCTTTCAAGAAAAGAAATATAAGCAAGGCGTATTAAATAGCATATCTGTGAAACAGACTTATAGAAACATAATAAAATAATCTGAGAATACTGATTTAACCAAATAAAGGGATTTCTGAGGGGGGGTATAAAGAGCTAAATACTGTCCTCCTAAGTAGGAAAATAATAGTTTGCACTTTATAGGTTCAGGCAGAAGAACACATGTAGAAACACTCATAAAAGCCAGAAGATACATCTAAAAGGAACGGGTGGTGGTAAGGAGAGTTCTGCAACCGCGGTGGAGTAGCTATTTTACAGTGAGGGCCTTTAGAGCCTTGTTTTAAAAATTATGATTTGTATTAAATTGATTGCACTGACACTGGTCAATAAGATCACAGAGGTTTCCAGGGTACATTTCTATCGCATGACACGTGGTCTGTACACTGCGTTGTGTGCGACCAGCCAAAGTGAGCCTTCAAGTTCTATTTGAGCTTTAAAACTATCTGAATTTTGATAAAAATACAAGTTAGAAGTTAAAAATACTAGAAAATCATACTCAGTCTTTTTCTTCCCACTCATGGTCTCCTCGGCCTCTTTCCTTCTTTTGGAGACTTACCTGGATGAGCACTGTATTTTGAAGAGAGTCATTTCTTAGCGGCTACCTGCCTAAGCACAGATGTCACAAAACCGCTCTGCAAAGGTTTGTGGCAGGTTGTCCTCTCTTTTAGAAAGGATGCAGAAGGGGATCACCACCTTAAACTTGTTAGAGTTTTAATATCTTGAGAACTAGTATTATCCTTATTCAACTTGCGTTGCCACAGTATTAATTAATTCCTGGTACACTGCATGCATCCTATACAAGAGGCTGGTTTAGTTGAAGACACTGAGAAGTAGGAATTTTAGGAGGAAGAATTAAGCCAGAAGTGCCCTTTTGCAGAGAGGGGGAGGGGGGCCCTGGAGGGAGGAAGGGAACGAATGGATGAATGAATTAATGTACAGGACCCAGCAGAACTAAGGCTTGCTCGAGGGTGGTTGGCAGGGTAATAATATGGGTGTAATAATTTTTAGTTTTAATTTGAACATTTCACCTAAAATGCCATATGGTGTGCTTGAGTGTGATATTGTTATGTGACAGAATTACATGCTTATGATTTTGCAATAGAGAAGGGGCGTTATTTGTGCTGGACCCTGTCTCTACCAAAGGGGGCTTTTTAGTTCTACTCCCCGAGTCCTGACCGCTTAGCTTCCTATCTGGTTTTGCAGGACATTCAGATAACATAGCCTCCCTCATGTGTAAGCTAGTTCGCATTGTTTCCTGATGCTTTTATCTCAAAAAGAATTAACTACCCATCAATTCCTTCTCGGCTAATGGATTTACTTGCCACACCAACCAGTGTCAACCAACAGGGCTCAGTTCAGATCTCTCGTCATATAAAAGAGGGCGTTAGTGGCCGCCCCCAATTTGAATCGCCCCTTTGCATGTGCATCGGGGTCAGTGCCAGAGGCTCAGAGAGCTCAGCGCTGATTGGGCGGACAGGACAACAACCAGTGCAGCTGATACAGGACCAGTCGGTATGGGCACGGCTCCATGATGAACTCGTCATAAAGTGTATTCCGTTAGTTAAAATCATGGAGAAAGCCAGGAGGGTCCCTCCTTCTTCCAGCTGTGAAACAGATGAAAAGATGGGTACAGGGGCACAAAACTGTAGCATGTTTACTAAATTGATGGCATTTAAAAATAATTCCAGATGTTTCTACATGATGCCAAAACATATAGCGAATTTAGAAAAAAAAAATTGGTCATTTTTATTCAGAATATCAGTTCCTCATCTGAATATCTGACACTGTATAATAATCAAACCAAGTACTAACCCCCCACCCTGGAAAATAAAATGTATTCTTGCTGTCCTTAGATTTTTTTTTTCCAGTTGTTTAAAGGGGATTTAGTTCAAGTTAAGACATTCAATATGAGCAAGTCGCAATTATGAAATGTCATTGGCTGATATTCATCTAAAGGGCCAAACAAATATGCCACATCATCTTGAATAAATTGAGCAGTAATATCTGTGCTGCATAATGATATAAATTCAACACTGATGGTGGATATTAAATTTTCTAGAAGCCTCAACTGAGTAACAGAGGAATCATCCAATCTGGGCTAAAGAAAAGAAAGTCACTGTGCTCTGGAAATGTAACACATTTCTTTCTTACCTGGCTGACACTGATTACACCTTCTTCCTCGACGATTAGGCAGACATCGGCACTGGCCACTGGCCGGGTCACAAACGGTCCCAGGTAATGTCCCCGAGGAGTCACACTCACACACCTGGCAGCCTTGGAAATCGCCAATGGTCACATTGTACCTGTGAGGCTCGCACTGATTGCAGCGAAGACCTGTTACTCCTAATTTGCAAGGACATTGTCCCGTTGATTTGTCACACAGCAGAGAGCCGTTCTCTGTCCCAGTCTTATCGCAATCACAGGGCAGGCAGAGGAAAGAGTTGTTTTGCTGAAGGAGGAAGTATCCTTCCAGACATCCATCGCACTGTCTGCCTCCAACACGGGGCTTACAACGGCACTGCCCTGTGCCCGCGTCACAGACGGTCCCAGGGAGGGACCCGGCGGCGTCGCAGCCACAGGCCTTGCAACCAGTGATGTCCGGCCCGTAAAAGTGCGCTCCGCAGGCGTCACACCGAAGTCCTCTGGCTTCCCGTTTGCAAGCGCACTGCCCCGAAAGAGGGTCGCAGAGCTGGTTCATGGAGCCGTACGGGTTACACCGGCAGGGTTCACATCCGTCGTCATTAAAACTCCGGAGGAATTTAAATCCCAAATCGCAGTGATCACACCGGAGCCCTGGAGATGACACGTGTTTCAAGCAGGTGAAAACGACTCTATCGCACACTCAAGGCGGCTGACGCACAGACAGTGGTGCTGCCGACATTTAACCCAGGCACAAACGTTGGGCGACTTCCCCAGCAACACCACAGAGGGCCGGCCACACGCGGAGATGGCGGCAGCGCTTAATTCAGTGATGATGCCATTTTATTTTTGTAGTGTGCTTTATTAACTTTTATTTGTGCATCGCTTAATGCAAAGAAACATGCTTAACGCCATTGTTACTCTATCGCACATACGAGAACTCTTTTCTTGAATAAATATTAAAAGTATTATTTTAAAACTAATAATTATATTAAAACTATTATTTTTACTTATTTTATATTAACAAAGCATGTTCATTTTTAAAAGCACAGTAGAGAGCAAAGTATATTTTCAAAGCCCTGAATAAGAATTGCATATGACCACATTAGTTATTTCCCTAGAAACCAGGATCCCCTAAAACTATGTAACAAAATGTTAAGCTGATGATTATTTTGGTGCTAACAGAGTATATACTTATTCCTAAATACCCCACATTTACATAATTAATATAAATAAAACTTATCCAGAGCAATTTTTATTTCAATGCTTTCATATGCTCCTATATTTTATCACTTTCAATTAATATAAATTATGCTCTCCTTGGATCATAAAGCGGTCACACTACCTGCCATATTGTATGATTCAAAACATACCTCTTTAAACACTAAGTAAATTCTGCTGTTTAGATTACTTCTGTTTAAAGGAGGACATGCACACATTGCACAAACAGAGAAAAATGTTTTATCACCTCAACCTAAATCTCTGACAACTTAGGTTAGTTTCAAAAAGAGGATTACAAGGCAAAGGAATAAAAAAAAATTTTCCTTGAATAGTAAATGTTGAGATGCAAAATGCCTCCTTTAGATAGCTTTCACATATCCGTGAATTTAAATAACTGACTCTGTGCAGCTGAATCAATTGAACCATTTATTTCAAGCTTTAGTAGCAGTAAAAAATTAGTACTAAGAGTCAAAAACACACTCAGGAACTCATAGGTAGAAAGGCAGTTCCTAAACGGGAAGAAAATGCGTAATATAAATGTATATATATGAATAAAAATTCAAGAACTCCAATGGAAAGCAAGTTCTTTAACAGTGATGAATGACTCACCTGAGGCATATCATTTGATTTCAATAAGGAAAATAAAAAAGACCACTATTGCTGCAAATTTTAAAAATAACTGTATTGTTAACAAGAATTATGACTCATTTTGAACTATTAAAATTGGTCTACATGGATTCATATCATATCAGGTTTAAAAATATGCGCGGTGCTTATTTGAATATGCCATACATATTTCTGACAGGTAATCTATTCCTAACGATACGGAGGAAGGCCTACAGGGCATCACATTCGGTGGTAACAAGTGCAGGCGAGTTAGCGCGCCTGGCATTTAATTCACACTCTTCTCCCTTTTTATTCTAGATGAATGACCTACTTTAATAAAATTAGTGGCGCTAATGTATTTTACTGGTGATAGAATCATTAGTAAGATTTAACAGTTTTGTTAACTCTAACAATTTGTTTTCCAAAGCATATACAACATACACTTAAATTTTCTGGGTTTTTCCTTATTAACAAGGTAAAATTGAATCCGGTTACTTGCTAATCCCATTAGAAGAAGAAATATTTATACACAGAGTTATATTTTTATTAAACACAGGGAATGTGCAGAAATAACTTTACTTTCCTGCAGAAAACTATCTGGATCAACCAGTAAAAAGAGATAAATGGTAGAGAGGTCATAACAAATTCTAAATAAATGGCAAATTTTGATCTTTTTCTCCTCCTTAAACTCTGGAATCTAACCATTGCAAGAAAGACTTCATTGATAGAGAAATAACCATTTCATTGTCTTTAAAGGCGTTTCTTTAACTTTTGGTTTTACATTTTTTAATTTAAAATGTGTCTCACATTAAATAACCGAGGACAACACACAGACTGAAATCACGGGTCTTAGGATTCGGTCAGCAGCTCAGAGATCACTCACACAAAGGCGCGCTGCTCTGCACAGCTTGGTTATACAGCTTCTCTGAAAAGTTAGTTTTCGTATGCCTGAAATGCATAAGGGCAATTTATGGTAACATTTTTTATGTGATCTTTCTCTAAACCAGAAATATCTTGTGAAATACTATTAAGCATGCCCATGGTCTTTTATATGAAATTAAAATGAACCGCTTATCTAGCTGAATTCATAAAAAAAGGTATGTATCTTTATATATGAAAGACAAGGCATTTGTTTTAGAGTTACATCGCAAAAATAAAAATATCATTCAGAATGAAATGTTCATGGGCATGTGTGTATCTGCGTATGCCTCTGTGTGAGTATGTGACTGCCAGGCATGTTTTTATTATCACTGGGTTCAGGTCAATGTTAGAAAAACGACAGAGGGCTTGAATGACAACAGAAAGGCAAAGGTCTTTTTTAAACTTCTGTACAAACCGAGACGTGTTCAGTTACAATACAAGACTCACTTCATCAGGAAACTTTCCTCTCATAATATTCTCATATATCAAAATTTCAAAGTGCATTATGTACATAGTGCATTTTGGGCACTTGATAAATTTTGTCCTTATGTGGCCGTGGTTCCCCTCAAAAATGTTGGATGTAATAAATTGCTATAATCAAATCTAATTTCTGAAAAATACCTGTGGGAGTAACAAACAAAAAAGCACGTCTTGTATAAAAAAATGATAAATAACACTGAGGGTAGCTGTTTATTATAATCAGCTTGGCACTGAATTACAAAATTAAAATTATGTGGCCCTTTATAACTAACCCTAGCAATACACATGATCTGTGGAATTGTGTTGACTTATTTTGCATTTCATAGGAACAGTTCAAAGAAATATAATAGGAAAATATGGAATGATTTATCACAAAGGACCCTGTAGCACAGAATATTTTGAAAAAAAATCCATTTCTTTTGGTCTATTAAGAAAACTAGCATGGAAATTATTTGCTTAGAACTCATTAAGTACAAAACATTTTGAAAAAGTGCTAATTTTCTAAAAGAAACATCTATGCAAGTAAGCAAATTATATTTTTCTATGACTTATTAGTATGGGACCATGTAAGTTAAAGCAACTACTGAATAAAGAAACTTCTAAAGGGTTGGTTAAACTAAGCTTCCAGCTGAAGTTTGATAGAATTATTAACGCCATCATTTTTAGACAGTTAATTTCTTCCAAATTGTTTTTTTTCTGTTCTAGCCTGCCTTGAGCCAGGAAATTGGCTTTACTCTTCCGTTCAGAAATCAAATAGAGGATTTTATGCCAGACAGTAATAGAGATGTGACCGTAAACTTCTGCATGACACATACCAATAACGTTGGCTTTGCACTTGCACTGGCCTGACTTTGGGTGACAGGTGATATCTCCATCCACGGTCCCAGCGGCATTGCAGGCGCAGGGTCTGCAGCCATCGGGGTCCTGCTCTTGCAGGTTGAAGAATCCGCTCGGGCACTGGCCGCACTGCCTGCCAGTCGTGCGCCTCTTACAATCACACTGGCCTCCGATCTAGGGAAGAGTCACCATTTTGTAGGATGATGAGCAAGTCTATTTTTAGATAATTTGCTCATTAGGTACAAGACAGGGAGGGAGGGAGAGGAAAAAAAAAAACTTTAAATGTTAAACAGACAGGAAGGTAATAAAGTGTTTTTCCCCCCTCCTGACGCAAAAACATGCGAAGCTTCAGCAGGGTGAATATATAGAACGGAATGAAAATAAACCCCGTGGAATTCAATAGCATATGGTTAAAAGGGAAACATGGAATTAAACCTGAAGTGCCATATAAAGAAATCAAAACGTGGTCACGTGGAGGCCAAAAATAGAAAAGAGACAGCAGTTAATTTCGTCGTTACAACTAGAACTCTGGGTTTTGTTCCTCTTGTTTCCTGTCTCATTCATCCAAACTTGTTTTATATGATATATTCAAGGTGCTTAATTTACAGATCTTTCTGTAATAGTAGTATCTCTTCAAGGTTTTAACGATGTTTAAAATAAAGGTCTTTGTTAACAGCACCCATTTATGCCAACTGATAACTAACCTGGTAACAGTTTACACAACCCCGCTTATAGGAATATTTCAGCATATTCACCATTCCTTTGTAGCAAGATGTAATCATATTAAGTATATTTAGATAATTTATATTTTGCTTAAAAAAAAAAACAAGGTGAAAAAGTTACATGCTTTAGAACCCTGTCAGGCAAAATAGCTAAAAAGGAGTTTTTCTTTTCAAGCTACTATCTGGGAGTAGAAATACATGAGTTATCTATTATACTCATCTACTGTATGCATAGACATAATATTATGCTGGTTAAAGAAAGACCATGAAGAGCTAAGACTTCTCCTAAGAAACATACACATATAGGATGTGAAGCAAGTAAGAGATGATGGCTTGGGGCTTTCACAAGAGCTGCGGATACAGACGTCCGGCACCGGACAAAGTCCCTGGCACCTCTCTCCCGGTTTCCTTTCGCTTGGACTGAACCCTGCTCTCTACACTCAGAGGCAGGAAAGCACATGTCAAAAGACAGGGTTTGACTGACCTTTAACTTCTGGGATATTTAAAAAGACCACATGAGGTTGGGATTCAGTTACGGAGGTAGAGAGAATGGCTTTCTGATATTTAAATAATTTTTACAAATCTCTCACTGCCACATTTCTCCTCCTCTGAGAAACAGGGCTCACTGGGGTTGTTACTCAATTATATGAAATAATTGACAGGAAAATGTTTAACACTCTTGACAAATAAAGGTTTCACATGCACCAGATGGGGTTACAGATAACAATGAACCTCAATATGAAAGGCACATATAGGCCAGGAAGACAGGTGAGGACCGTGACTTGCCTCCTGGCACCTGGCCATGGTCCCCCCGCCCCCCGCCCCCGCTCTCAGCCAGCCCCACGCACACCAAGAGGGGTTTGAGTCAGCCTGCAAAAGGAAGTTGCATTTAATGGTGGGTGCATGTTACACAGAGCCATGGGAGAGTGAAAAAGGTAGAAATAAAAGTGTATTCTGTGCCCAAACTTCATCTTCCACACACAGATTTTTATTATAGTTTTTACCAAAATGTAATGCATGCATCACCTGGGACTTCCTTGCCTCTTCAAATCAAGATAAGGCTGTCAGTAACCCTAATTCCATTTCTGTTGAAGGGTAAAAGCGCTCCTTAAATTTACAATAATTCTATGCATATTGATAGTCTCATGATCACCCTGAGCTCAGTTTCTGCTTCTTCCATTTTGGAAACTTTTTTTGCCAATGGAGAGCTTTGCCACGCAGTGCCCTAAAGGTGAAGCCCCACCAAGAGTTGGTTTCAAGAAAAGGACTTCTTTTCCATAAACTGGCAGAGAAAACTGACAGAAGTCAGACAGCACTAATATCTGGGACTCTGACCCCTGCAAACAACATGAATACAGTCCAGTTTAGAAGCGTTTTTACCATCCCTTTACAGAACAGGCAACAAGGAGTCATCAGACATTTGGGCAAAATTTTCAACATGAAAAACATGGACCCCCTTCCAAAAAAAAAAGCAGCAGCCACCTTACAGACCAGTCCTTTTATGATTTGTAAAATGTCTAACTCTTCATGTTCCAGAAGGAGAAACCAAACCTCAGGAAGATCAAGTTACTTACAGCTAGTGAGTGGCCTGACTCCCAAATCTGCACTCATAACTACAATGCTAAATTCACTCCACCTGTGACGAGTTACAAATCTGAGCAACAGGATGAGGGCTGGACCCAAGGAAGGTCAAGGCCACGGCGTGACCTTCCTGTGAAGTGCCGAGTACACAGTGGAAGATCAGCCAAGTCGTCCAGTTACTGTTTTGTGAATTTCTCTGAATGGCACTGATGCTTGCTAATGGTGGCTGTATATGGCCTCGTGACCACACGCAGGATCTCTCCATTTTGGACCATCCTGCCCAGTCTGCTGTCGCAGGGTATGCACCAATGGTGGATATGACAGCCAGCTCTGTGACAACGGAAACAGTGGATGTGGCAGGGACACTGGTGTCAGGAGAAGAGAGGAACATCCTGCAATAATTACTCTGGTCAGCTTTTGTAGCTATCCTCTACAGTAAGAGACGGAATTCTATCACGGTGAATTCACAACAATGAATCATCCATACAGGATCACTTTTACAGGTGTGAAAATACCACTTCTGTGTTTACGAAAATATGAAGCACGATTTAAAGGTCAATAAATAGGTGATCTCAGAGGTTCCCTATGTAACAGACACCGTATTTTACGTTATTTAAAGCAACGTTTGAAAAACAGCAGAAATAGATGTCTTCCTAAGCACTCATTTGGCTGGTGTAGAGGTGATCCAGTGTTCACTAGATCACATCTCACTCAGAGCCAATGAGGTAATACTGATGTTGACAAAGCCAGAATTTGTAAAGCAGGCTCAAAAGTTTCAGAGCAGGCAGTCTGCCCTGGAAATTAAATTTAATCTGGGGGGGTTTGTTTGAACAGAGAAGAAATACAAATGAGAGCATGAGAGCAACAACAACAACAAAAAAATCTTCTAATCAGTAAGTACATTCTTGAGAGTGTTCTTTTCTTTTATACAGATGACTCTAGACTTTTCTTTCATGGAGATGCTTAAACTGCCATACTTCCCTGTTGAGAAATTCATTCACATTGTCAGTCAAAAAATGTTGACTCATGTACAACTACACGGTGTGCACCCTGTAATGTGTAAGGTCACATTACGTGAGTGATGGCTCTCAGCTTCCACGTCTTCCTTCTGAACTGCCAACATCACCCGCAAAGGTGCACAAAATTGTTCCTAAAAATGGACTCCTCTTTCCTAATACATTTAATAAAATATCAATGTGATTTTCATCTACTCCAATTGTGATGCTGAGATCTCTGTGGTGTCTGAAGGTTAGGTGGAGAGAGTGGAACATTCTGGGTCCAGAAAATGAGAGTGTACTTTCTGTAAACAAACTAAAATCAGATAAAAGTCATTTTGCTTTTAATTGTCTTTAGCACTAAGGAAGCACTAACAATTCTAAACAATACTCATGTTACATTACTTCTCCCCGCTGAGATGGACCCCTCCCCCTGCCTCCCTCCTACATGGGACACCACCACGTGTGCTCAGCAACATTCGATTGCTCCCTATTACGTCCCTAACAACGTCCAGCTCCCATTCCACGACATGACCTCACTAGGCCACCCTGGTCTCACGGGATTCCCCGCTGCGGCAAGGGCCCCCAAGCATCCACAGGGCCTCCTTGCTCAAGGACCGGTGCTGCAGCTGTTTGCTCACCAGGCCCACTGCTCTTGCTCGGCTCGCACTCCGACTCCGCCTGGCTCCGGGGAGCACAGTGGGGGGCAGAGCCGAGCCATCACGTGGCGATGGGGGACCTGGTGCCTGCCAAACCACCGCCACTGTCCACGTGGCCTCCGGCTTTCTGCAAGTAACAGTAACTTTGCTGCTTTCTTGACATTCAAGCTTTTTTGGTTTCCATTTTGCACTATATTTTTTCAGACTTCCATTACAAGTTTGAAAAGAATGTGTAAAAAGCTAACATCCTGGCCTTAAGGGGAACATGTTTAATGTTTATTGTTAAATGAAATGTTAGCTGAAGATTCTTTGTACACGTCCTTTGCAGACTGAGGGAGTTATTTACTTGTTTCTAGTATGCAGATGGTATGTATCACGAAAGGGTTTTGAATGTTTCTCTCAAGTTCTCCAATGAGTACTGAGATTGTTCTGTGAGATTTAGTTAGTGTAGTGCACGAACTGACCTTCAAATATTAAATCAATCTCGTATTCTTGGAATGAATACCCATAAGTCATGACACATTACCCTTGCTGTGCCGCGCAGGATTCAATTTCTTAATACACTGTTAAGATACATTACATCTATGTTTATGTGAAAAACTCAGATGAATTTTTCTTTTTAAAAAGGTCAGTTTATGGGATTAAGGTTAGGCAACCCTCACAAAACAAGTTGCCCAGCTATCCCCAGACACTCCCAAAGAGGAGCAAGTGAGAACAAGCCACCAGCAGTCACACAAGTCCTACACAGCACCAGTTCCTGTGCAGGAGAAAGCAGGTAGCAGTCAGGGCACCTCAGACGTTTCAGAGACCTGGAAGCAGGAGAGCGCAAGGGCAGGCGCCAGTCTGAGAGTGGGCAACTGGGAGTGGGAGGGCCGCCGGTCCAGCGGTAACTGAGGACCGCGGATCTGCTGTGGGCTGAACTCGTGGAGCTGACCGGTCAGGACACCCTCCCACGGGAAGCGCCCGCGACGGGCAGAACCCAGAGAGCAGAAGGGTGGGACAGACGATTCAAACAGGATAAACTTAAAGATGAAAATCCTGAAGTCAGGACGGGCTCAGCATCCGTAATGAAAAAATTTAAATCTTTACGAAGTTGATTTTAAAATAATAATAGTAAACAATACAGTTCAGGAAGGTTAAATTCACTTTACTGTTTCCTGAGTTGGGTTTTTTTTTTTTTTTAATTCACTCTATGTTCCCCGTGACTACCATAGTGC